CCTTCAAGAGACGGGGTTTGTTAAACAGGGATCCACATTTGCATCCCAGAAGCTTGTCGCAAGGACCCCCGTGGTGAGGCGCTGGCCCTGTCCACGCTGTCGGAGCTGTACCGAAGTCAGCAGCGGTACCAGGAGGGGCTGCATAGGGTTTCAGGGTTTAGGGTTTATGGGGGTATATTTTTTTTAAGGGGTTCCTTTACAGGGGTATTATAGGGGCTTTAAGGGCTTTTTTAAGGGTTCCTTTAAGGGGTATCATGGGGGCTTTAAGGGCTTTTTTAGGGTGGGTTCCGAAAATGAGTGGTACCCTATTCTGGGGTCCCTATAACAAGGATCCTACTATTTAGGGTAATTACTATGTTAGGGTTCCCTATTATTGGAAGCTCCCATATCATACGGAGGATCCAGGTCACACTATCGTATACATTGTGGAGAGCCGAGTATATATTAAGAACTCTCCATATGAGTTGCGTTGAGCCGTTGAGCCTTTGGTACAACAGGATCCCCTAAGGATCCTGTAACAGAGTCTCATATCCCTCATGAGTGTGTAGCTCGGTGCCAACACCCAGAGACTCCGATATTCCTTGATTACGGAATACTCCTCCAATTGTAGTAGGGTCCCTAATATGACTTGAGGTATATTCCCGAATTAAGGGCTATTGGAGTCTCTGGGCACAGGTATTTGCGGGGTCTCGCTTCGGATTTAGTGGTGGTTTAGGCTTCGGGGTCCGGGCTCCACGTGGGAGTTTCCCAACAGACGGGACCCTAATATGGCACCCTAAACAGTAGGATCCTGATTGTAAGGACCCCAAAATAAGGTACCCCCTAGGAAACTCCCAAGTGTGCAATGGTCTAGAGGACGTCCGAATGTTGACTTCAGCCTTCTGGGGTTTAGCATTTAGGTTTTAGGGTTTTACAATTTAGGGTGTGGGGTTTAGGGTTTAGAATGTAGGGTTTCGGGTTTAGAATTTATAGCTTTTAGGCCTTTGAATGTAGGGTTTAGGGTTTAGAATATAGGGTTTAGGGTTCAGAACTTAGGGTTTAGGGTTTAGAACTTAGGGTTTAGGTTTTAGGGGGCTAGAGAACCTACACTCTGAACCTTAAACCGTTTAGGCTTGAGGCGAGACTGTGAGACTCCGGCCAAGTCTCCGGTTGTTGCGATGCTTGTGCGTCTCACGGGGGTCTCCAGATTTTCGGCTCTGGGCCTTCATTGCCCTAAACCCCCAATACTAGATCCTAAGGCCTCAAGCTCTAAACCCGCAGCCCTAAATCCTAAACCCCAAGTCCTAAACCCTCAATACTAGATCCGAAGGCCTCAAGCCCTAAACCCGAAGCCCTAAATCCTAAACCCTAAGCCCCCAATACTAAATCCCAAGGCCTAAACCCGAAGCCCTAAGTCCTAAACCCTAAGCCCTAAGCCCCCAATACTAAATCCCAAGGCCTAAACCCGAAGCCCTAAGTCCTAAACCCTAAGCTCTAAGCCCCCAATACTAAATCCTAAGGCCTCAAGCCCCAAGCGCATCGGCGAAGCTCTGAGTCTCGATCCTAGACACTTTTGCTGTCCGCCACAACACACATGAATCCCTCTCTAGACTTAGGGTTTAGGGTTTAGGGTTAAGGGTTTAGGGTTTAGGGTTTAGGGATAAGGCTGGGGTTTACCTAAGCCCGAGCAGCTGGCCCGAATAGTTAGTTGTATTTGAGGTGTAGCTGGCCGCTTAGGGGAGGTCCTCATGGAGGGCACTACGTATAGTACAGACCTTACTCAGTTTCCATGCTGAGCATAGGAAGCATAATGCTCCATGTGTAGAAGTTGTATAAAGGATGACAAACAGAATAGACGTGTAGTACTTTAAGCCCAACTCCCTATCATTTGGGTTCGCAGATCGGAGAGGTTAGTGAAACTTCAGAACCTAGCCCCTACACCTGACCCGAAATCCTAGCAACCTTGTTATAAACCCTAACCCCTAAACCCTAAACCCCAAGGGTTTTGGCCTTACTCCTTACACACCCTAAACTCCAACCCCATGGAGGCAGCTTTGGACGTCACCTTGCGTTACAAGGCGCTAGCCCAGGCCAATGCTCTGCGATTTTTGGGATCCAGATACACACCCAAAGGGTCCATGTTCCCAAATAGTATACACTGCTGTCCCCAAAGTACCTTCATAGGGACTACTTTAAGGGCCAATGTATATACTATATGAGTACATGGGCCCTTTAGGATCCTTTGGAGGTTTAGGGTTTAAGGTTTAGCGTTTAAGGTTGAGGGCTTATAGGGTTTAAGGCCTCATCCCTAAACCATAAAAACCCCTGGATGCAAAAGCCATAGCTGTGTTTTCAGCCGAGCCTCCTCTCCTATTTTTCGGAGTCCCTCTGCCGGGTTTAGGGGTTTTAGAGGTCTAGGGTGTAGGCTATGCCAAGAGGATACACCCCGGAAAATGGTCAACCAGGAACGGTTTAAGGTTTAGGGTGTAGAAGGACACCAAGGCCTCCGATGAAACAAGAAACCCACTTGCAAAGTACATCAGGCGCGTAGCGAGTCCAGAGGGAACTTCGGGGTGCCTGGGCCCCCAAAGCATAAAGCCCCACTTTTTCAAGCGGCCGATCACTCTACACAAAAGCAGGACTCTTTGTGTAAACCGTCCTTACTTTGCTACAAGCAACATAAGGGTTTAGGGTTTAGGGGTTGAAGGAGTTTTGGGTTTTGGATTTAGGGCATCGCACTCTATCTACAGGCGGATAGAGCCCATGGACCCTACATCCTAGACTACTAGGCCCTTTGGTTAGTTTCGTGGTCGGAATGATTCGTGTATACCATCTGCATATATATATATATATGTACATACATATACACATAAGTATATTATGTATATGTATACATGTGCATATACATATATGACATTGTTCCTTTGTAGTCCCCATACATAGCCCGTATGAGACCTTTCAGCCCCAAACTCTGAAATCTTAACCCTAAACCCTTGACCGCAACAGGACTCGGGCTTCAAAGAAGCTACCGTAAACCTACACCCTAAGCTCTGAACCTTAAACCTTAAACCCAAAACCCCTAAACCCTAAACCCCTAAATCCAAAACCACTAAACCCTAAACCCCTAAACCCCTAAACCCAAAACCACTAAACCCTAAACCCTTAACAGGACTCGGGCTTCAAGGAGGATGAGATCAAAGCGCTGTTGGTGCTGGCAGGTCTCTTCCGGCAGCAGGAAGACTTCAAGGCAGCTCCAGGGTTTCCTACTTAAGGGATCATGGGACTTAGTAACTAGGGTTCCTTAAAGGGGTCCTTAATAAGGATTCTATAGGGGTTCCTTAAAGGGATCTATAGGGTTTAGGGTTCAGGGTCTACTTAAAAGGATCATGGGACTTAGTAACTAGGGTTATATTTAGGGTAACTATACTTATATCCCCAATGAAGGTACTTATAACCTTACTTACTAAGTCCCATGATCCTCCAAGTAGGGTTTAGGGTAATCTTCTTAAGCTACAGTTTTATCAGGAAGTATTTTGTACTCGTCTTCATATAAAACCCAAGAGAATACTAACAAGATTGGTTTTATGACGGTTCTAACGGAGGGGGGCATTTCTGAGGACGAAGTTACGAAGGCCTCCACATGACACTAAAATTTAAAAGGGTTTACGGCTTAAGGCTGAAATATTATACGTGGGTTGAAGTTCGGGTGTTTCCGGTACACCAAAAACCATAAGACCTAAACCCTCAACCCTAAACCCTGAGCCCTAAACCCTGGACCCTAAGCCCTGAACCCTAAACCCTGCTGTTGAATCCCAAAGTGGACCATGCTCGGTTAACTGGGGACCGAAGCCTCAAAATTGTATTCGGGTTAATGAGGGATCCATTTTATAACTATCATGACTCTATGGGGTAGGGCCAATATTCTAGAGGTAATCCAGGTATGTTCCCTTATTGGGCTTAAGAGGATCTTACTTACTAATATTTTTCAAAAGCTTTAAATGCCCGACCTAGTAGTGTATGGTCGAAAGCATTAGGCTGTGGTGGTCGCAAGCTGGAACTTGCGATTGAGGGGTCGAAAAAAGACGGTTAGGGTTTAGGGTTTACACGTTCATGTGTTTAAAGTTCAGGGTTTGGGGGTGTTGGTTTGCTTATGGTGTCCTAACCTCAATAAACAGGTTCTGCAAAACAAGTACTACATGACAACGCCCTCTCAGCAACCTGTTAAGGGAACCCCGAAAGGAACCCTGATAGTTACCTCTTCAAGGATGTAGAAAGAACCCTGATAACCAGCTTTCGACCGAACCCTTTCAGAACCCTAAATTACGGTTTAGAGTTTAGGTAGAATTTCGATGCTTTTCAGTGTCCAGTTCAGGATTTTTGCTGGGCATGGAAGAAGCCCTTCCCCCCAAACCCTAAACCCTTAAGCCCTAAACCCCTAGACCCCCAAACCCTAAACCATTAAACCCTGAACCCCTAAACTCTGAACCCTATAACTATAAACCCTTAAACCCTGAACCCTAGAAGCCTCTAAGTCGACATTCGCTCGTCGATGTGCAAAGAAGTGGCCCTCCTCGCTTGCCTAGCGGACGGCAAGCACGCACCTCACCTACCTTAGAGGGATCCTCAAGGGTTCCTGTAAGGGATCTATAAAGGATCTATTAGAAGGTTTAGTGTAGTATAGGGCCGTAATAGTTACCTAATACTATTATGGGGGTTCCTTTAAAGGGGTTCATAGGGGTTACTATAAGGTTACTATAAGGGTACTATGATTTAGGGGCCTTAATAATTACCTGTACTATTTTGGGGGTTCCTTATTCTAAATCTGGTTATAATGGGCCCCAAAACCTTGTTCCAAGTTTTAAGGCCCCTATAGTATGCAGAACCGCAAGAGCTCTGAGCATGCGTGCGTGCTGCCTTAAAAAACTCCGTGGGCAAAGAAGTCGACAATGAAGCTGTCTGAGATTACACACCAGTCTCACTGCATGGGGTCTACTGGCGAAACTATGTTTTGTTTGTCGGAGATGGCGCCGACGAAGTTCGACCTGCGGGGCATGGCGACCTTCCCGCCGGAGAGCAAGCATCGGAAAGCCTTGTGGATGCTGGGCGGCATGGAGCTGGCGAGATATCTTTGGTGGAAGGGTGCTCTCGCATCTCAGGGCCAAGCTTGATGCGTTTCTTCAGAAGCGCGAGCCTTGAAAGTCTAGGGACTTCTTCGTCCTCGCCGCGTTCTTCGCATGCCTACTGTACGTGCCGTCATCGCTCTGAGTATGATGTCACAGTGCCCATGCCAGAGCGAGGTGTTGATAATTGTTGTTGAGGATACCCTTGAACTGTTCTGAAGGGTAGAGGACCCCCTCAAACTGTGCCAAATCCTAAACCTTAAACCCGTAAACCTGAACCTCAACCCCAAACCCGAAACCTTATAACCCCTTAATTCCGGAACTCCTGAACATTAAATCCCCACAACCGTAGAAGCCATGTATGCCGTATAAAACCTCTATCAAACACCTTAACGGAACCCTGAAAGGAGGCTGTCAGGGTCCCCTAATAAACGTCCCCGAAGCTTTGAACCCTAAGGTCTCAGTTCTAAACCCCAAACCTTATAAGCCCTAAACCCTAAACCCTCAATCTTAAACCCTATAAACCCCAAAAGGAGGCTTTTCGGGTTTTATAAACCACTAAACTCTAAATCCCAAACTCTTATAGAACCCTATACTACCCTTTTCAAGGGGGACCCTTAGAACCCCATACGACCCTTTTAAAAAGAGGCTTTTGGGGTTTTATCAACCGCGAAGGCGGCTGCTCGCGCGGCGCGCGAGGGGCTGCGTCTGGCGAGGCAGGCTCAGCTCCGGGAGCAGCAGGCAGGGGGCTCTTTTGCCTAGGAAGACCGCAAAAACTTTGGAACCGTTGAGAACCCCATAATGACTCCATATAAAACGCCCGACAGCAACACGCAAGCGATCGAATCCTTGTAGACTGGGCTTTGGAGTACCATACTTTAATACTTTTTTGGGACCTGGTACTTAAAGGGAGCCAATTATGAGAAAAAAAGCCTATACTTTTTTCCCCCTGGTTACTTCAAAGCCCAGTTAAGGGTGGGGCTCTTTTAAAGGGTAGTATATAGGGTTCTATAAGAGGGTCCCCCTTAAAATGGTAGTATAGGGTTCTAGGCTTTTATTTAGGGGCCAACAAAGCAGATATGCATAAGCATTTTATAGCGATATCCCTACCTTAATTGGCTTCATTATAAGGGGGTTTGTATGGAATATCCCTATCCTAGTTGTTTGCTTGTGTGCTTTTTTTGGGGCTCTTTTAAAGGGTAGTATAGGGTTCTAAGGGTCCCCCTTAAAAGGGTAGTATAGGGTTCTAGGGTTTGGGGTTTAGGGCTTGAGAGGGTTCAGGGGTCATTTTGGAGTTTAGGGGTTTAGGTTTTTAGGGTTATAGGGTTTTAGAGCTTGAGGGGTTCTAGGGTTTGGGGTATGGGCTTAGGGGTTTAGGGTTCAGGGCTTAAGGGGGTGTAGGGTCTTAGGGGATTTAGGGTTTTAGAGGGTTTTAGGGGGTTTTCGGGTTTAACGGTTTAGGGGTTTAGGGTTTAGGGGTTTGAGGGTTTAGGGTTCAGGGGTCATGTAGTCGTTTAGGGGTTTTAGGGTTTATAAATCAGGGTTTAGGGCGGCGCAGGTCGCCTTAAGGGTTCAGTTGTCCGTTTTGCAGCATGGGTTCCTGGTTTTGAGGATTCAGGACTTACAGTAGAAGCCAGAAAGTTGGAACATGGCTTTAGAGGATTAGTGCTAGGATCCCTTATACTTTACCTTAAGGGTATCAGGACAATTATGTTCCAACTTTCTGGCTTCTACTATAGGTCAGGGAGTTTAGGGTTGAGGGCCTGACAATGAGGGATTCAGGAGCAGCAGGCAGGGGCGTTTTCAAACAGTGTTTTAGGGGTGTAGTTGGGAGTTTCCGAGAATAGGGTACCCTAATATAGTATAAGTACCCTAAATGGTAGGATCCTCATTATAAGGACTCCAAAGTAAGGTACCACTTTTTTTCGGAAACTTCCAGTTGTGCAGGGGTTTAGGATTTAGGGTTTAGGGTTCAAGGGGTTTAGGGTTTGGGGGTTCTGGGGTTCTGGGGTTCAGGGTTTAGGGGTCTTGGGTTTACGGTTGGTGGGTTTAGGGCTCCGGGGAGCTTTCAACGCTTGCAAAGGATTCTTTGGGTTTTAGGGTCCTTACGGTGTTGTGCTGGATCCTAGTAAACCCCACCTTCTTGACCTACATGGGCGGTTGTCAAAATTATGGACCGTCTTTGGGTCCCTACTATAATACGGCACCTAATACTTAGGGTACCCAATTAGGTAAATTAGGGACCATAATTTTGACAACTACCCACATGACCTCAAATGGATCATCGCCAGCTTCCCTCTCAGGTTCAGCTGCTCCTACAGTGTGTGCAATGCAGCCTTACAGCCGCCTCCTACGGGAAAGCCCGGGTCTCCCGCAACATGATGGAGGATCCCCGGGGTGAAACTACCTAGAGGGTCATACCCTACCCCTTTTTTAGGGTACCTAGTTTTATGGTTAGGATCTCCTATATAGAAAAATAGGTACCTTAAAAAAGGGGTAGGGTATGAGCCTATAGGTACTGCTGATGGACAAAATCCTGCATTGCCCATTATAAGGAATATACCATAGTTCCCATAGTTTGGAGTCCTTAGGGTCATGCAGGATTTGGTCCATCAGCAGTAGTAGAGTAGGCAACCTTAAACCTTTTTATGGGTAGTATAGTCCCTATATAACGCGTTTATAACCAAAAAGGTTAACCTTAAGACCCCATGATACCCGACAAGTAGGAAAAGGCTAGTTGGCATTCTCAAGAGCTAGAAGAGCTGGTGGTTTATGGCGTACCAGAGGGTTGTACAGGCTTGGAGTTTGCACGGGTAGTTGGGTTCTTAGGAAGTTGTGAATAGTGTTGTCCTATGCCTAATCGGCGGGTGTTGTTGGGCTTTACAGGCTTCTGGGCTTGATTGGGTTTTCAGATGTTTAAGGGTGTCGATTCGAAAGGATTCATTAGGGGCCGAAAGATGTCCTTACATGCCCAATGTACGATCCTTGGAGCTTTTTTCATTCACAAGTTTCTCGTGTTGTTGTTAATCGCAGGCGGAAGTCGAGATTGTTCCACGTTGCAGTACCTTTGGTGCTCCTTCCCTGAGGGTCCATGTACTCATATAGTATATACATTGGCTTAAAGTACTCCCTATATAGGTACATTGGGCCCAAAGTATATACTATTTGGGTACATGGACCCTTAGGGCTTGTGTAAACTGAACTCTCATCCTGACGCAGCCTCGACGAGCAGACTACTCGCCTACTTAGCTCAATGCGAACCGTAACCGAAACCCTAGAACTGAACTGGGTTGTGCTTTGGGATAATTTTTAGTTTCCCTTATTTCCTTATAAAGGGAACCTATTCATAAATAATTTTCAAAAGGTTTAAAGCACAACCCAGTGAACATACAGATACAGGGGGTTTAGGGTGTCTTAGGAACTTGGGTCCTTTGCAGATATCCTCCAAGAAATCCTGGACGGAGTTGTTAAGTTGCCTTCTTCTGGGATCACAGGACGTACGTGGAGGGGCCGACTATCTTCCTTCCGAGGATTGCTTAAAGGATCATGGGCCTTAGTAACCAGGGTTATAATTAGGGTAACTAGACTTATAGCTACTTATAACTCGTCCCGTGATCCTCCAAGTGGGGGTTGCAGGAGACGACGCGCCTGGCCAAGGATGCAGTGAAGCTGACCTCCGAGGCTACTTGGAGGATTCCTTATAAAGGGATCCCAAAGGGTTCCTTATAAAGTTCAGGATTTAGGGTCTACTTGGGAGGATCATGGGACTTAGTAAGTATGGTTATAAGTACCATAACTGGGGTTATAAGTAGTTATAAGGTATAGTTACCCTAGTTATAACCCTGGTTACTAAGTCCCATGATCCTTTAAGTATGCGGGTTTCGGAGCCTCGCTTTCGGGTTTGGAGTTGAGGGTTCTAGGGTTTACGGCTTTGCGGTTTATGGTTTGGGTTCTAGGGTGTACGGCTTCAGGGCTTTGGGCGTAAGAGGACCCCCTCAAACCGGGCCAAATCCGAAACCTTAAACCCGTAAACCTGAACCTCAACCCCAAACCCGAAACCTTATAAACCGTAAGCCCTGCACTCCTGAACATTAAATCCCACAGTCGTAGGAGCCATGTATGCCGTATAAAACTCTGTCAGACGCCTTAACGGAACCCTGAAAGGAGGCTGTCAGGGTCTCCTAATGCGCATACCCCAAGCTTTAACCCCTAAGCCCTCAGTTCTAAACCCCAAACCTGAAGCCTAAACCCTCAATCCTAAACCTTATAAACCCCATAAGAGGAGGCTTTAAAGTGTCCGTGCATAATTGAGTTAAATCATTGAATCTGAATCCTGAATCCGGCCGAAGGACTGGAATGACGATGACGAGCATGGCGGTTATTACGACCACATGGACCATAGCACTAAGGAGGCGGAGAGGATTCTGGCGGAGGTTCAGTCCCACAAGAAGCCTGAGGCGAAGGCAAGGCCTAAGCCTAGGCCCTTGCCCGTTCCCAATTCCTGGAACAGCTGCGAATGGAAGAGAAGAGCGACAAGTCCTGGGACAGCGCCGATTGGAACGAGGAAGGGGCGGGCAGCAGTGGCTGGAACGACGACGAGAAGAACCAGTCGTGGGCCAGCGGCGGATGGGAAGATTGTTCCAATAAGAGGAAGGGAATGGAGGAGGACGAGGAGGACTCGGAAGAAAGGTGCGAGTGGTCTACTCGTGGGTTTCGGGTTTGGGGTTATACTTGATAGTAACTTAGTAGAGTAGGTAACCTTTGACGTTTTAGGAGGTATTATCATCCCTGAATATTCGCAAAGGCTAATAATTCCTCCAGGATTCTGATTATTGGACAGTTCAAAAATGCCCCTCCCAAAACCCAGAGACTCCAAAATCCTTGAATTCACAGGTATACTTCTAGGCCCTAGCTAAGTAGGAAGAAGTCCCGCATCTCGAAACAAGTTCAGGCTGCCTGCGCACTCTGTTTAAAGCCACACAGCGGAGCTGCATTGTGCAGATTGTGCTATGCCTTTTCTGGCATGTTTTTACCTACGTTGTGTAACAAGAACTCAGTGAAGCTCGGACCCCAACTACCGTCAAATCTGCAACGGGGCTCTCGTAAAACAACTTGGTATCAATGTTGCCATCATATAGTTCCGGAAGGCACATTTCTGTACATACATCCGCAGTGGTGTTTTGACTTGAGGTTTCAATAAGTCAGAGCCGAGCTTGCAAGAAGCCCCAGGAACACCAAACCCGCTCCCTCAAGGATAGGGCATGCTTTCAGGCTGCATGTACCCATGTAGCATGCAAATTTTTGGGCTTCAAGTAGTCCCTACATTGTCAACTGTGTGGGTACTCTAGGGCCATGGGCCCTTCGAATATGATCCCACATTGAGGGGTTTGGAAAAAACCTTCCGAGTCTGGCCTCCCCGCTGGCGGCTGGAAACGGACGCAGTATGGAGTTGCATTGCTCCTCGGCAGCGATGTTCGGTCTGAAAGAAGTTTTATCAACCTGCGTCCAACCCTGAAACCCCAGTTCTCAAAAGAACAGGGTTTCCTACAAAGATTCTTGCAAATGTTCCTTTAAGTGTCCCTTTGCGGTTTCCTTTTGCATTCCTTTTCGGACTCCTTGAAAGGCTCTGAAAGTGTGTCCTTTAAGAGCTTCCGGCAAGGCTTACCTGGGTGGTTGTCAAAATTATGATCCCTTCCTGGGTCCCTATTAAAATACGGCACCTAATATTCCCAAAAAGGAACCCTAATTTTGACAACCACCCAACTGTAAAGGAACCATCACAGGTAACCTTTACAGGAACTGTGCAAGAAACCGACTTCTTCAACAAGAGCCCAGGTTGGCAGGTCTCGCGAAGTTTAGCTAGAGCAACAAGCCTGGACCCCCCAACTACCACACATGAAGACCTTGACTTAGGGGTACTTAGTTTTTTTTTGCTTTTTGGTTATTACTGTCCCTAAGAAACAGCTAGAATTGGAATTTTTGCGAGGGTTCTAAGTTCAGGATAGTTGAGTATCCAGTACTAAGGACCATGGAGCTTTCATTAAGGTACTTGGAGGACCATGGGACTTAGTAAGTAAGGTTATAAGCACCATAACTGGGGTGAAAAGTAGTTATAAGTATAGTTACCTCGATTATAACCCTAGTTACTAACTCCCATGATCCTTTAAGTAAGGTATCCTCAACGGGCTTCTGGAGGGACTCAGAGGTTTGAGCTTGGCAGCTGGGAGTTGTGAGAGTCGATTTTGCGATGTCAGGCATGGGGTCTATGATGATAGTGCCATGATATAATGGGACTGTATACTTTTTCTATTACTTGCTGCGAGAAAGACTCTGCAGCTTCTGCTGTGCCTTAAATACCCACTACTGAGAAGCAGCACGGGTCGCTGGGAGGTGCCTTAAGGCCGGGTTCTTCTTTGATTAAGCTAGCAGAGTAGGGATCTATATCCCTAAACCCTAAACCTGCAGAATTGTGGTCTACGGGGAGTCTAGGCTTCCTAACTTAAGCTACCATGGTAGGGATCCATATCTATATATATATATATATATATATATATATATATATATATGTATGTATGTATGTATGTATGTATGTATGTATGTATGTGTATATATTTATATATACACGTTAGAGACCTGAAGCTTCGTGGTTTAGGGTTCCTGGCTTTGGATTAAACCCACGCCGTCCAGGTACTGGCACGCCAATGCCCTGGCTTTGAGCAGCAGAGAAGAGGCGCTAGCAGTGATCTCGAAGATTGACACTGTCTGCGATGCCACAGGAGCGTGTTTAGAGGGGAGAAGTCTTTAGAGTTTCAGGATTTGGGGAGCTTGGGGTGTAGGGATGTAGGAGTTTGGGGTTGTGGGATAGGATATGTGGGAGTGTGTGTCGGGGGTATTTAGTATAGCATTACGGGTTGCATTGGTGTGAGGTTGGCCTAGAAAATTAAAAGTGTTCGCATGCTTGGTTCCAAATCCTGGAGCTGCGGACACAATGTTCCCAAACCTCGTCTACCTGCTGTGAGCAAAGCCTAGGAAGACCGCAAAACCCTTGGAACCGTTGAGAACCCCATGATGACTCAACATAAAACGCCCGACAGCAACAAGCAAGCGATCGGGACCTTGTAGAACCCTTCAGTTTCTTGTAAGACCCCAGTTTTGAAATCCAAGGCCCCAACAAAGCCTGAAAACCCTGCATTACATGCCGAAACCTTTAAACAACCTCTCATTTATCTCATCAGTGAATCTTTTCCAGATGACTTTAAAGATCCTGTTGTGTTATAACCCTACGAAGCACCTCTTAGACAACCCTGCAACGAACCTCTTCCAAAGTCCTTACAGATCCCATCTCAAGAGTCCTAATCCATCCTTCATCCTAAACACAAAACCCGAAGCCATCCTAAACCCCAGAGTTTAGACCCCGAGCCCTAAAGAAAACACCATCCTAACCCTTAAACTCCTAAACCCATAAACCCCAAAACCCTGAACCCTAAACCCCTACACCCTTATCCCTAAACCCTAAGCACCTAAACCCCTGAACCCCCATAAACCCTGCACCCGAAAGATCCCCAAACGTCCTTAGCCCGAGGAGACCAGGAGCTCCCCTTTATGGTGGAACCCTACTACTTAAAGGATCATGGGACTTAGTAACTAGGGTTCCTGAAAGGGCTCCTTAAAAGGGATCCATAAGGGTTCTATAAGAGGGGTGTTAGGGTTGCTTAAAGGATCATGGGACTTAGTAACTATGGTTATAATTCGAATAACTAGACTCATAACTACCTATAACCCCAGTTATGGTACTTATAACCTTACTTACTAAGTCCCATGAGCCTCCAAGTACGGATACCCTATAGTACCCCTTTAACGGACCCCTTAAAGTAAGCCTGCAGTACCCTAGGGCCCGTGATAGACCCTTTCAAAATCAAAAGGATCCCTTAAAGGAACCCTCTAGTACCCTAGGGCCCGTATAGCCCCTTAAAGGAACCCTATCCCCAAAAATCCTTAGCTCGAGGAGACTTGGAGCTCCAGGCCTACGCCACGCTGCTGTCGGCCCAAATTCAGCTCGCCACCCGCCACTGTTTAACTACTTGGAGGATCCCTTAATTGGATCCTGAAAGGGATCTATAAGAGCTCTATAATGCAACAGTTCAAATGCGTTTAGGGTTTAGGGTTTCAGGGTTTAGGATGTAGGGCTTAGGGCTTTAGGGTTAAGGGTTCACGTTCAGGGTTTTGGGTTTAGAGTTTTGCGTTAGCCTTGGGGTTTATCTTTGAAGGGGCCTACAAGGGCAGTTATAAGTTTTAATTAGGGTCCCTTTTGGGGGCTTCAGGGTTTTGGGATTGAGGGTTTGAAGGTGTTTGGGGTTGAGGGTTTAGGGTCGTAATTTTTTATGAGGTTTTAGGGTTTCTGGGTTTAGAGCTTTCGGGCTTTAGGGTTTCAGGGAGCGGAGGTCAGGGTTTATGTAGTTCTCTAAATTAGGGTCCCATGCGGGGTCCTTGAAATGAGCGTGCCGTACTATTTGGGGTACCTAAACGGGACCCTACTTTAGAGGAGGAGGCTTGTGCAGTTTAGTTTTGGAGTTGGGCCCAGGGTTTGCGGTTTGAGGCTTCGTGTAAGTTCATTGTTACGTTTTGGGGTCTTAACCCTAAACCCTAAACCCTAAACCCTAAACTCTAACCCCTAAACCCTAAACCCTAAACTCTAACCCCTAAACCCTAAACCCCTAAACCCTAAACCCTAAACTCTAAACCGTGAAGGTTTAGGGTTCAGGCTTCAGAGCCTTGTGTACGCCTATTGTCATGCTTTGGGGTTGTGGTCTTTTGGATTTAGGGTCCTGGACTCTTGTGGTTTAGGGTGTAAGGGTTGAGGGGCTCTATTATGTTTGGGTGTTTTTTAGGTTCAGGGTCGAGGAATCTTGGCTTCCATTATGTCATGCGGTCTGTAGGGTCTCACGGATTTGGGATTTGGAGCCTAAGGTCATTCAAGTTCAGGGTTTCAGGTCCATTACGTTGTGGTTTCTGTATTAGTGTTTGGAGTTTCAGGTCTTTTACAGTGTGGGTTCAGGCTTCAGGGATTGAGGTTTCATGGTTTTTGAGGGACTATTGGGAATTTTTGCGGAACGTCATGCCTGGGTGTAGCTCTCAGCACGAAGGCTAGAGGTCAAGAACAAAAGTAGCAGAGAGAGAAGCAACAAACATGCAATGCAATATAGGGAGCGAATCCTGTGGTACAGGGGGTTGGCAAAAAACCGAACTGCAAACCACTTGCGTACGGTGCTCTTGAGATGAACATGAAGCAGATCTATATTCAGGCTGTCTGAATATTGACAGTTTTGAGATAGATAGCCAAGCATATTGCGTCGATGGCAGGGGTGGATAGATGGAAGTTTGAGAGGTGGGGATCTCAGGGGATGTGCAAGTTAGCACTTGTGGCTTCAGAATAAGAATTAGGGTTCAGGGTATGCCAGGGCAATGTACTTGTACCTGTCACAGTCGGTATTCATGCTAGAAGAGGAAGACGGCAGCGGTAGTCCTGCAGACGTGAAACTTCCAGACTAAGGTTTTGTTTAGGGCCTAACCCCCCTCCCCCTTACACCCGAGACCCCTAGGCGTTCAGCAATATGCACAATCTGAGGACACGGATAAGGCGACGGCAGCGAGTCTATTGCTGCCGCTTGGGCCGGCAGAGATTTTCGGTACTAAGCCCTGAAGCCCTAACAGCCCTAACATACTAAGCCCTCAAACCCTTAATAACCTGAAGCCCTAAACCTTTCGTTTCCGCTACCACCCTGAAATCCGTAAAACCCTAAAGCCCAACAGCAACAATAACAACAGCAGCAACAACAACATTTTTCGTTCTGGGTTTCGAATTCGAGATTACAAAACAGCTTCGAATCCTGATACTTTCTGGTTTCAAAATTTGGGGGGTACTCAGGAGCCTAGGGAAAGGATAGGATTGCACCGGGATTTGGGGTTGAGAGCTTTTGGTAGTTTAGGAATTAGGGTTGAGGGTTCGGGGCTTCTTTGGATGTGGGATTTGGGGTTTAGGGTTTAGAATTCAAGGCTTAAGGTCTTAATGCTAATTGGTTGTTCAGCTTTCCCGACAATCGGCACATTCTAAACCGGAAAGGGTTTCGGGTATTATCAACCTTTGACCTCCAAATCCTAAACCTAAACTCAATGCCGGACTAAACCCCAAGCCAAAGCCGCAATTCTTGAAACCTCTATGGGAGTTTCCAAGAATTAGGGGTACCTTATTTGGGGCTCCTTGTAATAAGGATCCTATTATATAGGATCCTATATTAGGGTCCCCCATTTTCGGAAACTCCTCTATAGACCCTAAACCCTGAACTCTAAACTTTCACCTAAGCCCTAAACCCTGGACTCCCAACGCTTTCATGACCCGGCATTGGACGGAAGAATACATTTGTCTCTGCCGAGTGGGAAATGCCATAAATCCTGCAAGGGGTTCCTCCTTGCAGAGTTGGTTTTTAAGGGCTCCTTTTTCAGGTATCTACAGGGGGTCCGATGAGGGTGCCTGTAAGGCTTGCTTTTGAGGCTTCCTTTGAGGGCTTCGTCTCCTACAGGGTTTCCTGTCAGGGGATCTTGAAGCACTCCCCTGAAGCCAAGGCTTCCTGTAAGGCTTCTCTAATCGGTTCCTATAGCTTCGACAGTCGGTGCCAAGCATTCAGAGTGTGTGCTTTCGGGATCCAGGACCCTACTTAATCCAGGACCCTACTTAAGTGATCATGGGACTTAGTAACTAGGGTTCCTGAAAGGGCTCCTTAAAGGGGATCCATAAGGGTTCTATAAGAGGGGTGTTAGGGTTGCTTAAAGGATCATGGGACTTCGTAGCTAGGGTTACAAACAGGGTAACTGTACTTATAACAACTTATAACCCCAGTTAAGGTATTTATACACTGACTTACTAAGTCCCATGATCCTCCAAGTACTTTCGTTGGGCACTTGGCCTCTCAGGGTAAAGGTTTGTTCATGGGTGCCCGGAAGCCCAACACAAAGGATGCTAAGTACCTTTGTCGGGGATCCCACTTAGCACTACGTAAGCACATAGGTCTCAGGATCTATTGGATCTTTCTATAAACGAGGTTCACAGGGTTATTGGTTCCTTGTGGCGTCATTTATTTTGCGGGTCTATAGTTGTGATAGTTGCCGGAAAGCCCTAAACCCTAAACCCTAAACTCTAACCCCTAAACCCTAAACCCTAAACCCCAAACCCCCTAAACCCTAAACCCTAAAACCCTAAACCCTAAACCTTAAACCTTAAACCCTGAAGCCTGAACTCTAACCCGGAGGCCAGTGATTCAGACCTTCAAAAAATTGCGCGACGAGACTGGGCAGAAGTTCGCAGAAGAGGCCTGACCATATATGGACGTTTGGGGTTTAGAGTCTAGGGTTTAGGATGTTGGGTTGTTCAATAAGGCCTGCAGGGTTGTAGATTTTTAGGTCTGAGGGGTTTAAAGTGTGCGGTTTTTGGGCTTGGAGTCCTCATGGTCTCCACAACTTCGTATGTTCACAGCTCTGCTTTACAATCTGGGCTGCAAGACTTTGGAGACAGTTAGCTCAACATATCTTGTTTCTGAGCATTTGAGACTTGAGAGGAGAAGTCGGTCGAGGCGGAAGTGTGAGTTGCATGATACTTGGAGGATCATGGGATTAGTAAGTAAGGTTATAAGTACCTTAATTGGGGTTGTAAGTATAGTTACCCTACTTATAACCCTAGTTACTAAGTCCCGTGATCCTTTAGGTAACGAACTCACCATATCTTTGTCCCATGGTTTCTCCGTGTCCTTCTCTCTCGCGCTCTATATCGCGCTATCTCTGGTATGGCTTTCCCACCTTTATGTTTCCCCCATCCCTGAACACGCGCTGCAGATCCGCATCCTTGCCTACTGACATCATTGTTCGCAGTTCGCTTGCTGTGCAAAACAATGAACCAATATACACACCCATGTAAACATATCTAAATATATATGCAGATATTCATAAAGACTTGTCTGCATATATTGCTATACATATACACACATACGCACGTACATACACACATGTACCTACATGCATACATACATACACATAAATACATGCATACATACATATATACATACACACATGCACGTACATGTCTGTAGAGACATCCTTGTAGGTACTCAGGTACTCAGAAGGTAGATTCCAGGAGCAGTTCTGTGTGCGCAGAGCTTGCTCGGTCCAGAATCTCTCCCCACCCAACCCTCCCACCCTGAAATGGAAATGGAACCTTACAGTAGAAGCAAGAAAGTTGGAACATTATTCTCCTCATGCCCTTAAGGTAAAGTATAAGGGATCCTAGCACTAATCCTCCTAAAGCCATGTTCCAACTTTCTGGCTTCTACTGTAATATCAAAAGGCTCCGGATCTGAAAACGTCAGTGATTCAGGGTTGCAAGGAATTTCAGCTGAAGGGACTCGGGCCACCCTGTTGATTCAGCTGAAGTTGCTTTTATCGCGCGGGTCAAGACTCTGTCCTTCTCAGATTCTCTAGGTGCCATAACTAGATTGACAACTAACAACGGTTTGACCTTGGCCCTTTTCGCTTTGGGTTCCCTAAAACCCATATGAGGAACAAGGGCACTACTAGGGAACCTAGATGACCTGCCCTCATCCACGCCAGGTCTATCACAAGGCCACCTACATCCCAGTTGCTGCACCACGTCTTGCCCTCGGAAAATTTCGGACGTCCCCAAACCTAGAGGCTCTGAGCCCTATTTCCGCAACCTTTCAAGTGTTTTTTTGTGTTGTATGGTGGTCGGTATAAGTTTAGGGTTCAGGGTGGCCTTTATACTGAATGATGGGTATGTTGGGCTGGATTTAAGGATTTGGGCTCGACTTCTGGCCGCTGCATCCATCGTGTCTCTTCTGCTCGACACGACCCAGCGTTGCTGGAGCATAACTATAGCAAAAAAACTGAATCTATTTAGGGCCCTTACCCCCCCTAACGCCCAGGACCCATAAGGATCCATAAGCACCCACGTGCAACGACCTAGAGACCACTGATGCTAATAGCCTTCATTGCCAAAGCCTCCAAGCCCCCACACCCCAAAGCACGTAAACCCAAAGCCCTACATCCCTCAAGCCAGGCCCGAAAACCATAAAGCCCCAGAGCCGAAATCTACTTGCCCTGAAGACCCTAAACCCTAAACTCTAAACCTCTAACCTAAACCCTGAAGCATTTTGAAGCCTTTGAACTCCCAAGCCCTTCAACACGGAACCGTACACCCAAAGCCCAAAACCCGGAATAATCTGAAGATAGCTCTTCGCAGACGTACAGAAGCAGGCCAACAGGCCACAGACCCTCAACCAGAAAATCCTGCAACATCGTTCCATCACATCTTCGAAGCCTTAAGTCTTTCCTGAAACCATCCTTCTAAACCCCTAAACCCTAAACCCTAAACCCTAGAACCCTAAACCTAAACCCTAAACCCTAACCCCGTTCTGGAGCCTCCCGCTCTTCCCAGCGCAGCACCCTACAAAGCCACAATGGAGGTGCCGGTGCCAGCGGTGCCGACATGGGAGTTTCCGAAAATTAGGGGTACCTTAATTTGGGGGGGTCCTTATTATAAGGATTATACTACTTAGGGTACTATATTAGGGTTCCCTATGTTCGGAAACTCCCATACCGATGAAGAAAGCCAACAAAAAGAAGAAGAGGAACAAGCAGAGGTTCAGATACAAAGCGACCAGGACAAGATGAAGAAGCGGCTGCTTCTTTTAGGAGCCACTCCAAAGTGGAAAGCTTGTCCGAGGATGCACAACAAGCGAGGTCCAAGGACGATGCTGCTTACCTACATCGAGACCCTTGCCGACCCGCTGATATGCGACGTGGAGCTGTCCACCTACATCGAAATCTCCATGAACATGAAGGCCGTCAGGATAGGACTTGCCCCTCTCCACAATCTAGGGGTACGAATCTACATGATCGAGGAGTTGAACCCCGAGGTATGCCTCCACTACCCTTAAACCTACGCAACATGAGCTCTAAGCCCGGAAGAAATCGTCGAACAGCGAGGTAAAACGCTTTTCTACAAACCCTAATCCCTTAACCCTAAACCGTTAACCCTGAACGCCAAAACCCTCAACCCTGAAGCCCCCCCAAACAAAAAACGACTTCAACTAAAAGCCAAAAACCATCGGTCATGGAACTGGTTGTGAAGAGGCCCGGCCCTGGCTGATGTCACAGGGGCAGAGGCTCCAGTCGTTGTTTTGTTGGTTTGGGGGGGTGAGGGGTTAAAGGTGAGGGGTTAGGGGTTCAGGCGATTAGGGTTTAGGGGTTTAGGGTTAAAGGGTTTTCTTTGAGAGGGAAGGCCCGCTAGATTCGGTTTTGGGGTGTAGGGGGTTAGAGTTTAGGGTTAAAGGTTGGTTGGAATTTACAGGGGTTTTAAGCTGGGTTTCAGCAGTCATAACCGCGAGGTCTGTACAGGCCTTCACAGTGTCTTATATCGTGTAGACAGGCTGGTTGGATTTGTTTGACAAGTTTTGAGGGTTTACGGAGGGTTTGGAGCTGCTAAAGGGACGGTGTTTGCAGGGTTTCAGCAGTGTGTCATGAGGGTCCACGAGACTTCAGGGTTTACGGTTGTATGACTTAGGTTCTGGGATGTTTCGTTTTCTGATGTAGGTTTGAGTTTGATGTTTATGTGGTTGGCAGTCCGATCTTGCACAGGGTCGATGATGATTCGGTGTGAAGCTTTCGAGGTCTTAGTACATCCTAAGCCAAATCACGGATGAGTCTTGAAGCCTAACCTTAAAGCACCAAAGCCCTAAATTCTAACCATGTAAAAACTCAAAAACAAGCGCTACCGAATCCCACCCCCAATATCATGAAGCAAGAAAACCAAACTCTTAAGCTCAAGACCCACAGACGGTTTAGGGTTTAGGGTTTTAGGGTTTAGGGGTCAACCTTACCAGGTACAACACAGATTCCGAAGATCCAACACCCTAAACCCTCAGACCTAAACCCTAGCCCCGGTCACCCTAAAGCCCTTTAAGACGCTATGACCCTGACCCTATACCTTAACCCTAAGTCCCTAAACCCTATAGCCTAAGATACAAGCCCTCGAGAACCCTAAACCCGCAAGAAAAGCCCCCAGCTTTTCAGGAGCAGCTGCAAGTGGCCCCTGCGGCGCCAAAGCTGCCGCGAGCTTGGAGGGTCTCAAAGTCTGGTCGCTGAATGAGTTTAGGGTTTAGGGTTTAGGGTTTAGGGTTTACACTTTCGGGAGTTACAGTCAACCCCCACAAATCTGACAGTTTCAACTTATCTGGGCTTGTGAACTCAGCAGCCAAATGTTGTCGCATTTCGGTTTGGTTGAGGGATTGCTCGGCCCTTTGCTGAGAGCTTAGTCAGGGTTTTTGGTTTGGGCTTTCAGAGTTTCGGGTGTAGGGTTTAACTAGGCCCTGACCCTCTTAACCCGAAACCCCCCACCAGTACCCCTACAAAAAGGATCATGGGACTTCGTAACTAGGGTTATAATTCGGGGGGTAACTAGACTTATGACTACTTGTTATAACCCCATTCAGTGTACTTATGGCCTTACTTAGTAAGTCCCATGATCCTCCAAGTAAGAACCTCTCCAGGTACCCTTGCAGGAACCTTGAAGCCCTTGTTACAAAATCCATCCTACTCGAAGACTCGAAACCAAAGACCGCCAGAAGCAAACCTCTACACCCCTTGTAGTAGATGTACTGGGCTTTGGAGTACCATACTTTAATATTTTTCTTACTGGAACCATTATGAAATAAAAGTTTATACTTTTTTCTCCCTGGTTACTTAAAGGCCCAGTGTATGTATTCTACAGGAATTCCACTCCCTAGCGGTTGCTGAAGGTTAACCGCAAACTTCGTGTGGTAAGTGAGCCTCGACCCTTAAAACCTGAAACATGAAACCCCTAAGGCCTCATGCTCCCTGAACTTCTAAACTCGAGCCCGTAAACCTTAAAAGCCTAAACCCCAAAGCACCAAAGCCCACCCTGAAATTAAAGCCGTGAATTCCTAAACCCCAAACCCTCAAACCCTAAAGCCCTGAAGCCCTAAGCCCTAAACCCCCGCAACCCTTGAACCCTAACACGAACCGTTAAAAGAATCCTAATAGAACCCTCCAAAGAGCCCTGAAAGGAACTCTTAAAATAACATAAACCCTTTTTAGCCCTTAAAGCCCCAAAGCCCCAAACCCCAAAACCCCATAAACTCCAAAACCTTATAGACCCTAAACCCTTAATCCTCAAAGGAACCCTAAGCCCTAATCCCTTAAAGCCTATAAGCCTAAACCCTTAAAGGAGCTCCAAGCCCGCCAGGAGCCCGGATATGATCCGATCTCAGATCTTAGACCTCGCCAGGGACACGGTGCTCTCCGAGGTCGGAGCTTTCTTAGGGACCCCAAAAGGGATGTAAGGTTCTTTTGAGGCATAAGGGATATAAGGTTCCTGTAAGGGATCTCCTAAGGGATCGTTTAGGGGTTTAGGGCTTGAGGGCTTAGGGTTTGAGGTTTAGGGTTTTAGGGAGCAAAGGTTTGAGGTTTGGGGTTTTAGGGACCCAAAAAACGACACAAGACTAATCACCTTACAGGGATGCCTCTACCTTGGTTGGGCTTCATTATACAGGGGATTCATATGGGACGTCCCTATCCCAAATATTGGGTGCTTGCCGATCTCGCTGCTGTTGGGTCTTTGCTTGTCGTTTTGGGGTTGGGGCTGTTGGGGACTTAGGGTTTAGGGTTGAGACTTCAGGCTTTAGGATTTAGGGCCGCTTGGGATTTAGGGCTTAGGAGTAAGGGTTGGGGAGTTTTGGCTAAGCCCTCAACCCGAAACAGGATGTGGTTTGTTGAGTTAGGTGTTGGGATATGGGCAGTTCCCTAAATTAGGGCCCCCCAAGAAGACCTTTCCAAAAGGGTGCCGCCTTCTTTTGGGTTCCTAATTTCGAGAACTCTCCATGTAGGGTTCAGGGCCTTAGGGGTCAGGGAAGTGCGTAATCTGAAGGGGTTTAGGGTTTAGGATTAGTGATACGTGGGTCTTGTAGATTACTGAGGTGAGTGCTGTTGAGTATGCTGGTGAGTGGGTGTGGTGGCGTTTTTGGTGGTGGGTGTTACAAAACCTACAGCATGTATGCATTGTTATGCCCTAAACCTACACCTGTACAGAGCCTTAACCTACTGATTCCTGATAGCACATGCAACCTAGCGGGATGCTACTTTGCTCAGAATGCTAACCCTAAGGTCCGGAGTCCAAAAGCAAATTTCCTAAGCAGTAGAAACTGTATGGGCACATGAACGCTTCGGCGGCTAACCCCGGATGCGTCCGACATCAGGGCGAAGCCACACTGCGCTAAGCTTCAAAATCTTCAGCGAAAGTACTTTACGACATGAATCCCGCTGAGTTCTTGGAGCTTTTAGCTTATGGTTCAGTGTTTGGGGCTTGCTGACATATACCGATGTTCCAACGTAAATCTCACGGTGCGTCTCTCTCTCTCTCTCTCTCTGTCTCTCTCTACGTGTTTCTGCAGCACATGCTAAACCCTTCCAAGCCTTGGCACACTCTGTAAATGCGGACACACTAGAGGCCTGCTTTTCCGCATTATGAAGGCCCCTACATTCTACGTCTCCTAGTGGGCCAACCTATAGTCTCCATTGTAATTCCTTTTTTTGGTTAACCAGTTTTATGGTTAGGATCCTATAATAGAGATTTTTGGTGAACCAAAAACAGGAACTACAGTGGAGACTATAGGAATTTTCCCTTTTTGTCAAGTTCGGCTCCTCAAAAACATCCCGCTACCAAAAAAGGGAGACATTTTAGTCCGAGGTCACTGGGGATCCTATTATTATGGTGACCCTTGACCCGAAGTATTATCGAAATCCTCAACCCCTAAACCCCTGACCCGAAGTATTTTCGAAATCCTCGACCCCTAAACCCCTGACCCGAAGTATTATCGAAATCCTCAAGCCCGGAAACCATGCGAAGGATGCCATTTCTCTTGACCAGCCGCTCATGGACCTGGGAATGGCTTCTGGGCAGTATCTCAAAGGGTTTTAGGTACTGTTATGGGGGATACTTCCCCAAATCATAATAGTTATTCCTAATTCCGAAACCCTACATTCTACCATATCGGTACTTTGGACCTTCTGGCTATCTCAGACCCTGAACTCTAGAACCGACCAGGACCCCCCTGAAGGCCCTTTAATAGAGCCCGTATGGCCCTTAAACAGTGGGTATTTGGGGTATATTAGAGGGTAGTTGGGGGGTCTAGGGAAGACCCTAAAGACCCTACCTTAGTAGCCGAAAGAGTACACTTTAGACCTTTCGGTAGAAGATTGCCCGTTGCGGAACTGAAACTTCTATCTATTCTGGGCTTATAAACTCAGCAACTAAGACGACAGCCCAAGACCCTAAGCCCTAAACTACGAAGACTGCATGCTCCGAACTCGGCTGGAAAAGGGGCTATTGCACTTTAAAAAATATAAAGGGAAAAGGTTCTATTGCACCTAAAAAAACTACAACGACCCTGGAGACCTAAACCCTAAACCATAAACCCTAAACCCCTAAACCCTAAACCCTAAACCCTAAACGACCCTGGAGACCGAGGACAGCCTCACAAGTGTGAGCTTCCGCAACGAGCTGCAGAGCAGGTTCAAGGTCGAGCTACCAGCGGCTCTGCGCTTTCAGCCTGGCCTTGCCCAAAGGATCTACGGTTCCTTAAAGGGTTCCTTAAGGGTTCTAGAAGAGGGGTTTTGGGGATACTTGCTTTAAGCCTGGCCTTGCCCAAACCCCGAGGCTCTATACTCTCCGAAATCCTAACCTACATAGCTACTATCCTAAAACAGAGTACCTAATTATTATTAATAATTTGAGCTTGGCCTTGCCCAAGCAACTAGGGTTCCTTTGTCTGGGGTGTTGGGGTTTTGGGTATAAGGTCCGGGGTGTTGGGCTTTGGGTATACGGCTTATAAGGTTTAAGCTTGGGTTTAGGGTTTAGGGTTCCTTAAAGGGTTCCTCAAAAGGCATCTATAAGGGTTCTAGAAGAGGGGTTTTAGGGATACTTAAAGGATCATGGGACTTAGTAACTAGGGTTATAATTAGGGTAACTATAGATTTATAACTACTCATAACCCCAATTAGGGCACTTATAACCTTACTTACTAAGTCCATGATCCTCCAAGTTGCCTTGCTCAAAGGATTCTAAGTACTTACATGGGGGATACTCTCCTGAATCATAATTGCAACTCCTGACACGGAAACCTACTTTCTACCGTTCGGGTAGGGCTTGGGGTTTCCAGGGTAAGCAAGGCCCCCAATATCAGAGAACCTTTATAGACGCCCTTATAGAGCCCTTTAGAAAGGAACCCTTGCAGGAACCCTGTTCTAAGCATAATGGCCCGCATGTGCTTCCGCCGGCTTTGCCTCAAGGTCTAAAGGACCCAGTAATGAGAGGTTCTAAAAGGTTGGGTATGGGTCCTATAAGGGTTCTACAATGGCTTCATAAGAGGAATTGCCTTCAAGATTCGGGGGCTTGGAAATTAGGGTTGAGTTATGCATGGGGATACCATAACTAAGTTCCCCGTCGTACCCTTTTGCCGCTCCCTTTCTTAAAGCCAAATCATATTGAAAAGAGTACCATTACTGTCAAAAAGGGGCTCCTGGGCCCTTTGTAGTGAAATCCCAAACCCTAGCCCGCAAAGCCGAAACCCTCCCTCAGAAAGCCTGAGGCCCCCTTAGGAGCCTTACTTAAAGGATCATGGGACTCAGTTCCTTAAAGGGTTCCTTAAAAGGGATCTATGAGGGTTCTATAAGAGGGGGGGTTTAGGGTTACTTAAAGGATCATGGGACTTAGTAACTAAGGTTATAGTTAGGGTAACTATATTTATAACCCCAAGTAAGGTACTTAGAACCTTACTTACTAAGTCCCATGATCCTCCAAGTAGGGTAAGTAACAGAAGTCAAGAGCCTCTAGTCAGAACCGGACCTAGAAAGTCTTGGAGCCCTGAATATGAGTTGCGAGGGAAGATGCGCAGATCTTCCAAAATCCAATCATGTAGGAACATAGATTTGAAACTATAGTAGGTTTTAAGGATCCCAATGTGACTTCAAGTATACTCCTTACAATAACTCAGGGATTCTGGAAGATATGGGCGGAAGCTTCAAAACTTGCAATTCTTCAGGATTCCTTTCTCTAGGTAGTTATATTGTAATATATTCTCCAAAACCCCATCATACTCTTGATGATATAAATCCTGCATGACCTTAAGGACCTTAAACTATGGGAATAATGGTAATTATAATACTTGCTATGGGTGATGCAGGATTTACATCATCAACCGTAGTGCTTTAAGCCCCTGTATCATACCAGCACGTCAGCCTTGAGGTGTCTTTGATCTTTGATAGCCCGTCGGTGAATGCGCTCACTCAGTCGCCTTGGATGCAAGTTACATCGGAGTCGTTTTGGAAACCCCGACCCCCTAAACCCTAAACCCCCCTGCGAGTTTTCCTGCTTTGAGACGTTAAGATCCAAAAGCCTGGTTGCAGGGTCATGAAGCTTTAGGGTGGTTGGGTGGTAGGCATCGTATTTCAGTTGTTTAATGTTGTCGGGGTTTCGGGGCTTCGGTGCAACTCCAAACCCCGGACCCCTAAAGCCTAATCCCTAAATTTTAGAAGGCGCAAGCGCCAAGATGCGACAGCGTAGGGTGTGGTTTTAAGAGCGGGGGGAAAACAATATGCAAAGAACTAAAAGTCCCGTCGTGTGATTGCAGATTTCTGGCTCAACTCTTCTTCGAGTGCCAACGTCCATCTGCTGCAAGCCTTGCCTCGAGCATGAGCCCGAAGGCCGGAAACGGTCGGAAGGCGAATGACCTCGAAGTAAGTCTCGCGCAGGTGCAGTCCAAGCATGCGAGGAAAGCGGAGACGAGGCGTGGCTGTTGCAACTCGACAGTCCAAGCGATCCGCTTTGAGTGGGGACCTCAGTTTGCGATCTAATTTTTTTCTCAGTGCTACCACTGTGCGTCTGCGCCCAGGCACGGCCTCCCAGAAGGTGTGGAAGAACTTCTGAAGCACGAGCTGGAGCTAGGATTGCACAAGTGGCAGCGACCGCTCCTCGCCGTGCGGCCCGGCAAGCCGAAGGGGACAGACTTGTCCCTGACGGTCCGGGTCGCCGGCGGGGGTGCGGATCGCAAGGCACGAGTGAAGCGCATATCGAAGAATTGTAAGCCGCTTCTCAACAACGGAGGCTATTCAAAGCTTCGGGATTTTTTAATTCGCAGATTCCACCCCAAAGGGGAATGGAAGCGATGCTTTATTTGGGTCCTCGAGTTGGAGTGAAAAAGAGAGCGAGCCTTGCAATTGCAGTAGGAACAGCAGCAGCAGCCTTAGGAAGTGCGGCCCTTTCCGCTTTGGCTCTTCCAGCGCGGTGCCACGGAAGGCCCTGGGCTGCTGCTCCGCAAGCTGCGAGGCGACCACATCGACTGGGATGCTTTGCACGAAGCACGCTGGCCCAGAGCCCCTTGTCAGATGTGCAAAGAACACAAGAGCTGGGACCAGTTCGCCCACGCACAGTGGGAGCTCATTCGCTCGAATCGCGATGCGATGTGCCTGAATTCGGCAATCCGAAGGGCCCGCTGAAGCGAGGCATCGACGAAAAGGCCGCCCTGGCCAACAGCATTGCATGCACTCTGTGCCAAGTGAAGAAGGTCGAGGCAGCATTCCCGCGAGCACAGCTGGCGCAGACGGATGCCGAAGACAAGCGCCAGTGCTCGGCTTGTCGTCTCGGCCTGACAGAGCTGACTTGCATCGCATGTGGTCAGAAGAAGCCGAGCAACCACTTCTCCCAGAGCATGCGCACCTTCCCGGACGATTTCGTTGCCTGCAAGGACTGCACCAGCAACCGGCTACGCACCGGCTGGTTCACGTGCAGGGGATGTAATGAAAGCTTCCTCAGTGAAGCCACGGGCAGTGCTTGCGGCGACCATTGCTTGAATTGCTCTACGCGCGCCTCCAGGAGAACGGGATGGCAAACCTGCGCGAACAGGAAATGCAAAAAGCAATTCCAAAGCACGGCGAGAGGCCTGTGCCCTGAATGCCAACCGAGAGCAAAGCCCCAACGCACCCGGAAGAAGAACCAGAGCAGGTGAGGCAAGCCACGTTTCACCATGTTCATTCCAAGTCAGACAGCAGTCGGCTAGTCGGGCGAAGGAAATGACAAGTAAAAAGGTCGGCGGCCGCATGCAACATCAGCCATTGCGAAATAGCAGGCAATGTGCAGACAAGTTGCGACCCAGCTGCAGGGCATGGAGCATTTGTGAATGTGCGCAAAGCCAGGGATTCCAGTAGTAACATGCAGGACCAGACAGCATGAAACAAACTGAAGTCATTCCACCAACAAGCGCCGCGAGTCAAGCTCGATTCAGAAGCGTTAACGTCAAGAGCTCACCACAACCGCACGTATTGGTCAATAGACTCGCTTCTGTTCCAGAACCTGCCATGCACCCTGTCAGCATTGCGGCGCGGGCGGTCGGGTGGCCCAGAACGGGGTTGCTGCAGTGATCCGCTAGTGTGGTGAGAAGTCGGCTGCAAGAATGGATTCAGCCACGGGACGGTCAACATAGAACTTCATGGACAGTTGCTAGGTTCCGCAGCGTGATTGGGTTTGGCTTGTTGAAATGGACAAACGTTTTAGCTTTAGAATTGCAAATCGTGAGTCTGACCGTGCCTATGTTGAGCACGTTACACACCGGAAGCTGCTATCGAAAAGGGGCCCAAAATGCGTCACACTCCTCGCGCCCTCCGGGGCCGGCTCCGCGCGGACTGTTTCGGGCTCTCTTGGGGATTGTTTCGAACTCTCCTGCGGACTGCTTCTGGCTCTCGCGGGGACTATTTCGGGCAGGGACTGTTTCGGGCTCTCGTGGGGACTGTGTCGGGCTATCGCGGGGACTGTTTCGGGCTCCGCGGCGACTGTTTCAACCTCTGCGGCCACTGTTTCGGGTTCTCGTGGACTGCAAAGGCGGCCAGTCTTGATCCGCCTGAATCAGGCTCTCGCGGGGATTGTTTCGTGCTCTCGTTGGGACTGTTTCGAGCTCTGCTGGGACTGCTTCTGGCTTTCGCGGGGCTGTTTCGGGTTCGGGCTCTCGCGGGGACTGTTTCAGGCTGTCTGGGACTGTTTCAAGCTTTCGCGGAGACTTGTTCGAACTTTCGTGGGACTGTTTCGGGCTCTAGTGGGACTGTTTTGGGGTCTGGCGGGGACTCCTTCCTGGGAACTGTTTCAAGCTATGCGGGGAATGTTTCGGGCTTTGGCGGGGACTGTTTCGGGCTCTGAAAGGGGACTGTTTCGGGCTCTGAAAGTGATTGTTTCGGGCTCTGGCAGGGACTGTTTCGGGCTCTGTGGGGACTGTTTGGGGCTGTCGTGGGCAACTTTTTGGGGCTCTGCGGATACTTGCTTCGGGCTCAGGCTCTCGTGGAGACTGTTTCGGGCTCTGGCGGGGATTGTTTCGGGCTCTGGCAGGGGCTGTTTGGAGCTCGGGCGGGGACTGTTTCGGGCTCTCGTGGAGACTGTTTCGGGCTCCGCGGGGACTGTTTCGGCTGTGTCGGGCTCTGGCAAGAACTGCTTCGGGTTTTCGTGGAACTGCCTGGGGCTTTCTGGGGACTGTTTCGGGCCACGGAACCGTTTCGGGCTTACGTGGGGACCGTTTCGCTCGCGTGGAGACTGTTTCGGAGAGGGTTCCAAAGCTTACGGTTCCGGGCGCAGAGGGTTCCCGACGCAGAGGGTTCCGGGCGCGTTCCAGGAGAGAGGGTTCCAGGGCCTACGGTTCCCACCGCAGAGGGTTCCAGGACGCAGAGGGTGCAAAGGGTTCCAGGGGGCTTCCGGGCGCAGAGGGTTCGCGAGGAGGGTTCCAGGACGCAGAAATTTCTAGGGAGGAGAAGGTTACGGTGCAAGGCGGGTTGCAGGGCGCAGAAGGTTCGGGAGAGGGTGGGCGGTGAGGGCCGGAGCATGGCAGAGGCAGAGGGCGGCGGGGCGGGTGGGTGGGAACGTGCGTCGCGGGGGGAAGGGGCGGCCGGGTGGGCGGGGCGGGCGGGCACCAAAAACCAGAAACCAGCTTGGATTGGCGGTTAAGCGTCTTCCTATAGAAAGAAGAGGTGGCTAGGGCGACAACTACGCTGTCGAACCCTATACACTCAAAACCCTAACCTCCAAACCCAAAATCGCAAATGCCCTAGCCATGCACTGGAGACAATCCAGCCAAACGACCGCAAAACCTTAAATATTGAACCCGGCAAACCCCTAACCATCAGCTGGAGAGAAACTCCCCCTAAACCCTAAGACCCTAAACTCTAAAGCCCTGAGCTATAAAGCCGAAACCCGAAATCCTAAACCCCATGCGCCTAAAAGCCCTAAACGCTAAATCCCACACCCTAGACCTTAAACCCTAAAAGCCTAAATCCAAAACCATACACCCTAAATCCGACAAGCCTACAAGCCTAAAGCCCTAAATCCTAAACCTAAAGCTTTAAAACCCTAAACCTTAAATCCTAAACCCTAAAAGCCTAAACCCTAAATCCTGGTTTTTCATTATCAAGAGGAGCCCAAAGAGCCCCGACTGAAGGCGCAGCCGGGTTTAGGGTCTATAGGGGCTCCTTTAAAGGGTTTTTGGGGCTTAGGGTTTGGGTTCCTTCAATACGGGTTTAGGGTTTAGGGGGTCTATTTTTTAGGGTTTCAGGGTTTAGGAGTTTAGGGTTTCAGTGTTTAGGAGTTCAGGGTTCAGCGTTTTAGGGTCTAGGGGTTTAGGGTTTAGGGTTTAGAGTTAGAGGTCCGAAAGAATCTCTTCAAGGCTTGCAGGATCTGTTAATGTAGGGCGCTGGTCCTTGAAGTCTGATTTGAGAGGGGGTGGGTGTTGTAATCCACGCATATGCATATTGGCTCCTTCGTACTTAAAGGATCATGGGACTTATATAGTAACTGGGGTGATAATTCGGGTAACTATACTTACAACTACTTATAACCCCCGACTAAGGTACTTATAGCCTTACTTACTAAATCCCAGGAGCCTCCAAGGATTGGCTCATTCGCAGACGGGCTGAGATCCCCAAGAGGCTGCTAAACCCTAGGCCTTAAGCCTTACACCTGAAAGCCTCAACCCTCGTTTCAAGCGCTCGAAGCTGCACCGCCCACATAGATATGATTCCTTCCTACTTGAACCGCCCTAAAGCATGAGATAAACCCTGAGCCCTAGGCTTATTAATAAGTCAGAAGGCTATAAGCCGTACTTGGAGGATCATGGGACTTAGTAAGTAAGGTTATAAGTACCTTAATTTGGGGTTATAAGTAGTTATAAGTATAGTTACCCGAATTATAACCCTGTTTACTAAATCCCATGATCCTTTAAGTAGCCTGCAGAGCTCCTAGATCCCCAATTTAGCGTTTAGGGTTTAGGGTTTAGGGGTTTAGGGTTTTAGGGTTGAGGGTTTAGCCCTAAATCCTAAGCCCGAACTGACTTGAAGTGTGCGCAGCCTCCCCCTTCGATGACCAAGGACGGTTATGGAAATTGTGGTTTCCTGATCTGAGAGTGCGCGCAAAATCCCAGCCGTTTAGAGGGTTTCAGGGCCTCAAGGCAGAATTCCCCCATCCGAAGCCGTGATTGCAAGTTCTTTACAAGGGCTTAATAAGAGATTGCCTTGAACCCTAAGCCCTAAACCCTAAACCCTAACCCTAACAGGGTGTTCGTACTAGTTTAGACGAGAGTTCTAACCACGCCTAGACCAACTTTAGGTACCTGTACCCCTACGTAGTTTTCATTCACTGCGCGATGAACCATGTGTATCCTAGGCGTGAAGTTGCAGATTCGTATGGGCCAGCCGCGATTTCAAGTGTGAGTTCTGTGGAGAGAGATCGCTTCTGCCAACCACGGCTCGTCTTCGGAGAAACAGAGCCAGAGTTGAAGTGGGGTTTAAGTGCCGATAGCGTAGGTTTTGTGATTTTGCAGGTCTTGAAGGGTCTTCAGGGTAAAACAAGCAGGGTTGCAAGCACAGTGGCGGCCGCTAGACTTGTAAGTTGTGCTTGAGCCTGCACGAATGCTCGGCGATGTTGGGTTGGCACTTTGAGCCGCTACTTTAGGGTTTAGGGGTTTAGGGTTTGGGGTTTAGTTAGATGAAAGGATCAGGGTACCGATCCTGCAAAGCCACGAGCCTCAAGCTTGCAAGCACATCATCCTCGGCACTAGCAGCTTGATTGCTCAAGCCCAAAACCCTAAACCCTGAACCCTGAACCTTTGTCATAGGTATAGTATCATAGGCCCCCAAAACCCTATAGGAACTACCCAGAGGCTCCAAAGTAGTTCCTTTTTGGGGTTCATATGTAGAATCCCATAAGGTAATTCCAAAAAGGAACTACTGTGGAGCCTCTGGGTATTGCGGCCCCTACATGATTCGATCGCAAGTCCGGTCCTGCGAAGGAGCTCCTGGCGACCGTTGTGTGGCGTGGCCAGAGATGGGGCCTCGGTCCCGGCTGGAACCCTAAACCCCTAAACCCCTAAACCCTAAATCCCTAAACCTTAAACCCTAAACCCCCTAAACCCTAAACCCCTAAACCCCTAAACCCTAAACCCTAAAGCCCTAAACCCTAAACCCTAAATCCTAAACCGGGAAGATGTAACCCTGGGAAAGATTCTATAGGGACTACCAGAAGCGTCCTGGGTTGAGGAGGGCTGTGGGTTTAGGGTTTAGGGCTTCGGGTTCTTGGAGCTTAAGGTTTCGAGGGCTTCGGGTGTGGGGCTTAACTGGGGTTTTCTGGCCTCGGGGTTTAGAGGGGTTCCGGCGTAGGGCTCGGAGTCTAGAGGCTTCGGGTTCGAGGCCTGAAGCAGTAGGAACCTAGGATGCCCGGTAGTACCCTTATTCCCTTTTTGTAGTCCTAGGTTCCTTATAAAGTTACCCAATACCAAAAAAGAGAGGCCTTTTTGTTCTTAGGTTACTGGGTATCCTAGGAACTGTCTTTAAGGATTCCTTTCTATTGTTTTTATAAAGACAACTCACTGTCTTTGAGGATTCCTCAAGAATTTTCTATTGTTTTTGTAAAGACAATTCACTGTCTTTAAGGATTCCTCAAGAGTTTTCTACTGTTTTTATAAAGACAATCACTGTCTTTAAGGATTCCTCAAGAATTTTCTATTGTTTTTATAAAGACAATTCACTGTCTTTAACGATTCCTTAAGAAGTGTCTAAGCCCTAGTCTGCTTGTTTACGGCTTTGTATTCGAGCCGTAGGTTCCCGGACACTGTAGTGAGATCCCAAACCCTAGCCCCCAAAAAGCCGAAACCCTACTTGGAGGATGCAAAAGTAGGTTATGGTAGTTGAAGTAAACCTTAAATTAAACGTAGAGGCCTCTGAAAAACGTTTCATTCGGTGCTGTCTGGGGCTTCCGAACGTAAGGCTTCCCGGTCCCAGACCCTGTACCTCTGGAATAAGGAAGAGCGCTTACATGGCTTAGATTTTATGAGGCTTCTGGTTATGCTTTTCGGGTTAGGGTTTAGGTTCAGGGATTCAGGGTTTAGGGCTTTAGGGCTTAGGTTTAGTTCTGTGATCATTCCTGCGCTTGCGACTCAAGAGGTTGATATCAACGAGTGCCGCTAATACTTAAAGGATCATGGGACTTAGTATGCAAGATTGGAGTTATAAGTAGTTATATGTATAGTTACCCTAATTATTACCTTAGTTACTAAGTCCCATGATCCATGAAGTATGATGAATGTACTGTCGCAGCCCGCGAAGCAACTGAAATCCACAATGCAGAACCCACCTACTCCACTGAACAACGACCACATATCTAAAGCCGACCAACGTACCCAAAGGCTCCCAATGTCCGCGAAATCCTCTGCAGTAGCCACGGTCAGGGCCATCGGAGCAATAAACCCACCACGCTCGATATCTTACCCTCCAGCCACTACAAGCCCCAACCCTAAACCTAAATACCCAACATACCCCCAAGCCCTAAACCCCAAACCCCAAACCCTAAACCCTAAACCCCGAACCCTAAACCCCAAACCCTATAAACCCTATAAACCCTAAACCCCTAAACCTCTAAACCCCGAAACCCTAAACCCCTAAACCCTAAACCTCTAAACCCCTAAACCCCTAAACCCCTAAACCCCTAAACCCCTAAACCCCGAACCCTAGAGCCTTTAAGCCAGAGCCGCCAGACCGGATGTCGCCAAAACCACCCAAAGTATCCGCACCCTAAATACTTAGATAGCCAATGGGGGAACTTTAAACTTTTTGGCCTTATATATTTGGTCTATCTTAGAAAGTTCAATTTTTTTGGGCCCGGTTATTGAAGGAGAGAGAATATTAACCCCGAAATAGGGTTCAGGGTTAGGAGGGTTTAGGTTTGAGGGTTAGGAGGGTTGAGGGTTTAGGGTTCAGGGTTAGGGCCCTGAACCTTGAGCCCCCAGAAGCTTCACACTCCTAAACTTCAAAGCCCTGAATACCAGAATTGCACATCTATTATTATGCGCACCCTAAACCTTATACATGCCCTAAGCCCTGAACGCTAAACCCTAAAACCCTGAATGCCAAAAGACAGCATACAAAGTATGCACAATGGCCTCTTCTGCTGAGCACCCATGGCAAGCAGGCGCAGCTCAGGCGACTCCGGGTTTGGCATGCATGTTATACACTTACTCTAGGAGTCGGAACAGTTACCATAAGTTTTTCTACTCATCAACGTTTCACTTATAAGGCTTATCCGGTTTACGTTGTAAGGGTAAGCGGTGAACCCTGAAGACGTTTGTAGAGTCAGAAGGCATTAGAGGGAGCTCTAGGGTCTTCGGCAAACAATGGGTCCTAGTACCCAACATAATTATGTGTTCTCACCGAAATACTCACCCACGTTGCGATTATCTTGATCCCAAGCACATAAGTAATGGGAGCTAAGGACCCGTCGGGATCTAAATATGTTGCTGGAGTGGATGGATTGAGTACGAGTCTAGTTCGGTTCGGGTCTTTCGGAGCCTTTTTCTTCTTGTCCTAGGTGCAGGTACAGGTATAAAGATATTTTCGTCAGCGTCTGCTGCTCTTTAGATATCAACCACAAATTCCAAACCCCCCTAAGCCCTAAGCCCTAAACCCTAAACCCTAAAACTTCCAAACCCGAAAACTTTGCCTCCTCCCCCAGAAACTCTAAACCCTCCAGAGACCCATAGAGCCCGTATAGATCTTGTTATAGGCCTACCTGCCTCCGTCCCCCAACCATGGAAGTGATGAACTCTGCAGCCGGCGATGCGAGTAGGGAAGTTTGCGGGGTTTCGGGCTGATACCATAAATCCAGCGACCTTGCTTGTATTATCGAATCGAAATCGCAAGAAGGGACAAAGAATTCAACCGCAAACACCAACATAGTTGATGGTTGTTAGTCGTTAAGGGGCTAGATTGAATTTGGGGGGTAGCTTCTCGCAGTCTGTCTTATCCAAGCTTTAACACCCAACAAAGCCCTCAACAATTTTCATTGAGACGCATTAGCATCCAAAAGACAACGCCCTTTAAACAGCCAGAAAGTCTTCATCCTTATCCCTTAATAACCTAGCAGGTCATAGACCCTCTGACCTCCTGCCAAATCCTGTACCCTACATCTCAACCCGGAACCCCAAACCGCCCGAAATCCCCAACCCCCGAACCCTACTTGAAGGATCATGGGACTTAGTAACTAGGGTTATAATTAGGGTAACTATACTTATAGCTACTTATAACCCCAATTAAGGTACTTATAACCTTACCTACTAAGTCCTATGATCCTCCCAAGTAGACCCTAATCCCTAAACCCTATAGATCCCCATAAGGAACCCTATAGATCCCTTTAAGGAGCCCTTAAAGGAACCTAAGCTTTTGCGGGAAGTTGGAGCTTTGTCGCTCTCCTCAACGGCGAGTTTCGAGACGGTACCGCTCACGCGGCAGGCGGGTGAGGGAAAGCTGGCGGATCCACTTGGGTGGTTGTCAAATTTATGGTACCTTTTTGGGGACCCTAAATATTAGGTGCCGTACTATATCAGGGACCCAAAAAGGGACCATAATTCTGACAACCACCCATTTCTTAATATTGCTTTAAACAAGGGTTGAGGGTTGACGGTTTAGGGCAAGGGGGGGGATTGGATTTCATGTAATGTGCGTTTAGAAGGTGGGTCGTTGGTTTTGCAATAGCTTTCATGTTCGTATTTGTTGGTAGATAGTGTCAACTAATTAGGGCGTAAGAGCATTCAGGGTTGGATTTCGGGGTTTGGGCTTTTAGGCTGTTCGGATGGAGTCTAATAGGGGATACTATACGGATTTCTCTGCAGAATGCAACAAGGATTACTATAAGGGTTTAGTCTATGCGTTTTGTTACTCCGCGGAATACTTTAAGGCTTACTATAAGGGTTCAGGCTATGCTTTTGATACTCTACGGAATACTGTAAGGGTTACTATAAGGGTTTAGGTTGCTATTTGACTTTCATGAGTGGAGACTTGTAGGCTTGAGGCATTTCGGTTTGCGGTTGACGGCTTAGCCCCTAAACTAGACCGTGGCTCCCAAAACCTTACCTTTTGCCAGGGCTAGGGGAAACCCTACCAACCAAAACCCTAAGCCCTATAATCGTTAGCCCTACCCAGAGACTCCAATATCCCTTAATTAAGGAAAATACCTTAAATTATAGTAGGATCCTTAATATGATTCAAGGAATATTCCCTAATTAAGCGGTATTGGAGTCTCTGGGTACACCCTAGGAGCCCTACTGAAAGGATCATGGGACTTAGTAACTAGGGTTATAATTAGGGTAACAGTACTTATAACTACTTATCACCCCAAATAAGGTACTTATAACCATACTTACTAAGTCCCATGATCCTCCAAGTACATACTCTAAATCCTTGCACCCTGAACTGAGGGGTTAGAGGTTGCTGGCTCAGGTTTTGGCCTGAGGCTGCGAGCTTTCGGTCTCGGTTCTCGGGCGTTAGGGGTAGTGGATTTAGGGCTGAGGGCTTTCGGGTTTCGGGTATTTGTTCTCAGGGTTTGGGGTTTTAGTTTTTGATTGCTTGTCCATCATAGTTATACCGTCATAATTACACCCTAAACCCTAAGCCCCTTTATTGGCCGGTCGGGTTCAGGGATTCTGCCAGGTTCTCAACGAGTTTTTCGAGAATGGCCGCTCGGAGATTTAGCAACCCAAGCCCTGAAAACATGCTTACTTAGAGGATCATGGGACTTAGTAACTAGGGTTCCGTAGAGGGTCCCTTAAACCAGATCTCTAATTATAAGAGTTCTAGAAGAGGGTTTTAGGGTTACTTGAAGGATCATGGGATTTAGTAAACAGGGTTATAATTCGGGTAACTATACTTATAACCCCAATCAAGGTACTTATAACCTTACTTGCTAAGTCCCATGGTCCTCCAAGTAGGGTTCCCTTTAAGCGTATCATGGGTTCTCTAAGGGGTTCCTTTAGGGGGTCTATAGCGTTTATAAGTAGGTTCTC